GTGTCACTGAAGTTTATGTGAGGCAACACAATATAGATGGTTCCCTCACGTGGAGAACTGCTGAACAAAGGCTGATGAAGTGCAAATGTCAAGAAAAAGTCTTCAAAGCAGACCTTTCATTTTGGAACACAGCGGTGACAGTTATTAACACCATCAATCAGGTCGGAGCTATTGCTTTGGCACAGACTCGTGCCTAGTGGGACTGACATAAGCACAAGAACAAGACCATGGTTACAGGCAAAGAAAAAGCTCTTGGGATTCATTTTCTGTTGACTTGCAAATGTTTGGTCTCTGTATTTGCAGTGACTGTGCTCGAGATTGGTTTAAACAGCTCCCAAATAATACCTGCAGCCACTCACACAGATATAAATGACTTGTGGTTTGGAGCAGTGGAAATTCAGCCCACATATTTCTCATGGGAGGAAAGATACAGGATGAAATTGCAAGATGGTAGAAATATCTGCTCATTCTCTCAGCTTTCACTGTAGCATTGGAGGCAGAACAGCAAAGCTTATCACTCAAGATGAGCTGTAGTGTTTTTACTTTCACACAAAAACTCCCACAACGTCAATATAACTTCCAAGAACACTGGATCTGATGAAGTCTGGTTTCCTAAGGACTTCTGTCGCATGGCTGACTGGCTTGGGAGTTTAATAAGATCCAAGTGCGAAATGAAGTTTTCTGTGAATGGGGCATTTATTACATCCTGAGTAGAATCTCTGGAGTTTAATAAAAGAAAGCTTATGCTGCAATATTTCCTTTTGAAAGGGCACTTTAGGTTTCTGTCCTCCAGCTGGATTAATATTTTTTATGGAACATGTAGGAATTTAATTGCTGTGAAGGTGGGTGTTTCTCTACAAATTTGTTTGAAATTGGCCCAAGCTTTTAATTTACTGTGAGGAGGAGAATACTGACAGACAGACTGACAGACAGACAGACAGACACATACCCACACAATGTGCTCTCAGCTGCTATCAATAAACTAGCTAAAAGATATCAGAGTACCCTAGGGATGTGCAAACACGAAGAGAGTGTGTACATGTGAGATAAAAAACAATCTAGAGAGGCCTCTGGTCTAGACAAGGATCCAGCCCAAAGCCATCAGGCAAAACTGAATGATGATCCCATCTCTTTTCTTTCTCTCTCCATCCAAGTCCCTTCCCTTGGCACTCCTGTTGTGGCTCATGACCATGTAGGTGCCTGCTGAGCTCCTGGCATCAATAGTGAGTGTTGAGCACATCCACACAGATATTCACATGCAGAGCTCTGAAGAGCCATTTTCTTTAGGTTTGCTCTATTAACTAATTGAAGAGCACTGAAATGATCTGTGCAGAGAACAAAAGTCATCCAAGTTCTGAACAGGCTGAAACAGTACTGAGAATGCTGGTGCACCATTTAAACAGTTCAACTGAGTGTCCCTTTCCTTCTAAATTCAGATTAAAAGCCCCCAGTGAAGTATGGGATCAAAGTAATTAGAGCTTGGTCATTTATTTCCCACAACCTATAATCTTTTCAGCCCCATCTGTCCTTTCTTGCCCTGGTTATGAATGCAGAATATTATGCTTAAGAAGGAGAAGGTGGTAAATAACAAACACATAACAATTACCAAGAATAATACCATGAAAACTGATATTGGAAGTAATGATTAAATCCTTTCATAATCAACTCATTTATTAAAGTGAATGCCTTAAAGCTAAAGCTTGTCATTTATGGTGGTGTTTGCAATAGACAGTTACTCTACATATTTACTCCAAGAGTACATTTTTGTACTTCAGTAAATTAAGAAATACTGATTTTGGGCAAGTTGTTGATTTTACTGTCAGAACAAATTTAGCTTTGAGAAATGATTTTATTAACCTATTTCCTAAGTCTCCCTATATACACAATTTGTGAGCAACCCACATTTCTCTTGATTTAAATGCCATTTGTAACTTAGCCAAAAACTAATTTAAGTGGAGATGGGCCAAATGCATTTTTCATTTATGTTTATGCCATTCTGGAATAAACTCAGCAGTCTTGCAAGGATATACACTTGTTTCTAAGTGACAATATCATTCCGTTATTTTCATTGATATAATTCCAGATCAACATGCTTGACTTCAAGGGGGTGTGGTTATACCATAGGCTTTTCTGGTTATCAGCAACAGTTTTAGAAGAAGATGATTGAGCAAATTTGATACAGTTACTTTTCAGAACATGCAGTCTCGGTATTTATTCCATGTCTATGATCTACTGCGTATGTGAAATATCTCAAGGGTGTGGATTTTGTGGAACTTCAATAAAGAGGTTTACTTAAATCCCCTCAAAACAAATCCTCCAAACAAGAAATGCTTCCAAAGGCTTCATGTTGCAGTGTCCACACTGTGACTTCCCTTATGAGTGAAAAATATACAGAAAATTATATAGTATTGCTACCCTTAGAAAATGAGACTGGCCACTTTTTAGGAATATGTTTATAATCCATAATTTATTATGTTTTTTAGAATATTTACTGTCATGCCTTCATAATTTAATTGAAGACTATCTCAATTTAGGGGTAAGGCCATTTCTCAGTTTCCCAGAATACTGACAAAATTGAAATTTTTTGCAAAATATGCAGCCATATTTTCTTGTAGCATGGAAACATCTGAAATGTTCATAAAAAAAAAAAAAAGGGTTTATTCCTGCTTCTGTGAAAAGGAGACTGTGAAAAGGAGACCCAGATGAATGAAGAATGATTTGCTCTATGACATCTTTCTTCTTACCTATGACTTTGTAGAAGCCCATCCTCCATGGAATTGAACTATGTTGTAGGGTGAGCTAAATGAAACTGGTTTCTGGCAAGTAGCCATCCTAAGAAGAACTAGGATTTTAGGGCTACTTAAATCTACTTTACACATTCAGCACATTTGATTTCAGCCCCAAATGTTTACTTTTGAAATTCAGTTTTAATTTAATAAAAAAAAAAAAAAATCTAAATTTGCCAGCCCCCTGCTGAGACTTATTTGCTAACGGGGAGTCGCATTTTTCAAAAGGAAATGAAAACGATTAAAACTCCCAATTTGAGATGTAGCGAGACATTTTCTTACTGAGCAAAATCAGCAAAAATTTGAACACAAATACACAGCACATATTACATTAGGCAAATAAAGCAATTATTTGTAGAGCCTGAGAGTGCAGATCCAGAAGGAGAAGGCAGGGAGCAGACGCTGCACATGGCACCCTTCCCTGACCTCAGAGATTCCTGATCTGGTTAGGGGTGCCCCAGGCAGTTGTTAGATGCATCCAAGGAGTGAGTGCATGTGCTGCAGGCAGCTGTGGCTCCATGAAGCACAGCTCCTGCCAGCTGGTGGGCAGCAGTGCAGCAGGAATGCTGCTGCCTGCCAGCTGCTGCTCAGCACCTGCAGGACAGGCTGGCCTCAAGGCCAGGGGCAGAGCAAGAGCCAAGGTGCCCAGAAGCTGTTTAATCTTAAAACAATTACCAGAATAATTGAAGTTTGGGTTTAGCACAACTAAGCCAGTTGACTCTGTTCTGCTTTATATGGAATAATTGCACATCAACTGCACCTGAGAGAATACAAAGGCCTGTCTGTATTAGAACAGGGAGGCTGAGATTCCCCTCCCCACATTTGCAAACACATAGGGTCTACTGAAACAGTAAACACACAAAAGAGAAAGAAGTTTCAGCTCAACATGAGGAAGAAGTTCTTTCTGTTGAGTGTGGCAGAGCACTTGGACACCAGGAACACTGGAACACCTCCCAGGGAGGTCTTGGAGTCTTCCCTCTCTGGAGACATCCAAACCCTCTGGATGCATTCCTGTGTCACCTGCCCCAAGTGACCCTGCCTCGGCAGGAGGTTTGGATTGGGTGATCTCCAGAGGTCCCTTCCAACCATAAGAATTCTGTGATTTGGTGACATGTGAAATGGAATACAGACACTTTTCCCTGTTCTGATTCTAGTAACAAAATCCCTGAGTGCTTCTGCGACAGCAGCATTAGATCCCTTCATTTGACCCTTCTTTCATAAGAACTAACCAAAACATTGACCACACATTCTTCAGGTATGTGAATGCAACACCACAGTCATTTGCTATTACTCAAAATCTACTTAGAAACAAGCAACAAGCTCTTACCATTGTTATGCATTGAATTTTAACTGTGATTCTCCAGTTGTGAAGGACGGAGGAAAGGGCAGGGAGAAAATGAAATGAAAAATTAACCTGATCTTGGTTATTAGCTGACACAGTCCATAATAGCTTAGTATGTCACTTGAATGCCTCAAGATTTTTTCAAGTACAGCTTCTCCCCTGTTTTGAAGCTGATTAATTCAATTATTTCTTGGCAAAGGCCAAGTCCTTCCTTGTGCTGTCTGTAGGTATGGCTCACTGACTAGCCAAGAGTACCATTTTTGTTTCTCCATTATTATCCATATTTCTTTTTTAGCACAAACTAGAGATGTGATAAGTTCTTTCTTTTATTCCTACTTCTTTCACTATTCTTTTTTTTTGCTCTTGATGTAAGAACTGAAAAGCATTTTGAGAAATGGAAATGAAATAGTTTCACCACAATATTGCTGCTGTGTAATTACTTATTCTAATTCTCCTCCATGACTTAGGAGAGATTTAGATGTAAACAGAATATCTATTTTTTTCCATTTACTAGTTCAAGCAAATCAGTCTGAATGCTGGACTAAAGGAAAGCACTTTAAACTTCTGATTACCTTCTTAGAAGATCAGAGTAGCAAGCAACTTTTTAAAGCAGTTTGTATTTACCTAAGAATGTATATATATTCTCTATATATTCACAGGCCATCTCCTGGGAAAAAAAAAACAACCAAGTGTAGTTTTCCATTTATATGCTTTAAAATAATCATGTGAGTGGAAGAACTACTCCATACGGTGCCATTCAGAATGATCTGACTCATCCAGCATATTCAATATACAATCTTGGTACAAGACAGTAGGTGATCTGTCTCTACAATGTGTATCAAAGTGACAACACATAAAAACGAGGTGTCTACCTGAGTGATGTCCATCCCAGAGTCACAGCTCAATGGCTGGGTTGATGTGAGGCCATTTGAACCTATTATTGTTGTGATCACACCATTCTCATCAATTTTCCGTATCATTGTACCATCAACGAAGTAAATAAATCCGTGCTTATCTACAGTGATACCTGGATGAAGAGGAAGAGTAAGAAGAGTGTTAGTGCTGGCATTATCTGGATTAAAAAGTAACAGCTTAAAATGTTTCCTCTCTTCTTACACTACAAAAATCTGCCAATTTAAAAAAGTACGATTTTTTTCCCCCACCCATTACTATTTGAGGCTTAGACAAACTGTATATGGAATGCTCATTCCCATCTATCAGATTAGCTTTGACTTAAAGAGGGAACATGTGAGGATGAAACAAAACAAAACAGCAGAGGCTTTGCTTTTAATGTAATTTTACATACAGAGAACAAGGCTCTTCAACAACTTAATGTCTATCACCAAGTGGGCAATATTAGCTTTTCTAAAAACTTATCTTACAGTTGATTTGTCTTCATTTCCATTTCACTTTCTTCATTCTTATGCACAGACAATTTTTAAATTGCTGCAGTCTCTGAATGATGAAGATGATGTCTGATGTCTGAGCAAGGAAGAAGAACCCACAGAAGGCCAAAGAGACCTGTTCTGATACGGGCTGTACATACAAGTGGGCAGATCAGGCTCTACTCAGCAGGCAGAAGGAGCAGCTGTGCTGCAGGATGGATCACAGTGCAGTGCTGCCCAAAATGATGGTCCTGCCCTGGAACCAGGCTCATGACATTTGTGGTCATCAGCTGGGGCAGTTCTCCCACTCCTGGATCTGCAGCAGCTCCTGCAGCACTGCACTGCACAAGGGATGGAACTCAAATGCCAGGGATGGAACTGCAATTCCAGGGCTCTGCACAGGAAAGGTCATGGTCCTCTGCATTTCAGTGGGGAAACTGAGGAATGGAAGGTTTGCTGTCTTCACCAGCACCGCATGCCACAACTCATGCTCAGCCCTGTTCTGCCTCAGTTTAACAGCTCCTCTGCAGCTCTTCCTGCATTGGAACTGTAAGTAAGATCTAATTTCCCTCAAATATTGAAAATATAACTAGAAGAGCACTTCTATTCATGTTAGACTTGTGAAATCCTTTCTACCAAAACCGCTCAATTTCTTGCTTTAAACTACTTCCTAATTTCCCATTTAAAATTGCATAACTTTGCAATTACAGCAGCTGCTGTGCACAGCCAAGCCATTTTAATAATGAATTTATGTTCTGCTACACAGAAATGAAAGGCAGAGGACTTGAACAGATGGTCTGGACAGTGGCTTATATGGTTCTTGATTTTTGTCCCCTGCATTTAGCACAACTGAAGGCTGTATGTACTCTAAGTTTACAAAATACTTGTCTGCAGGCCAGCTTAGGATCCCATACAGCAATTCCACATGCCATTAAAAAAGAAAAATAGCCTCAAACTGAATTTCCTCAGCTTCCAACCCCAACTCCTTGTACTTAAGGTTTTTTTGTTTGATATATAGGAGCAGTTACAGCTGGAAGAAAGGGAGATTAAGCAGTCTGGGGGGAAAAGGCAAGACCAGGAAACCCTGATGCAGAACATGCATCTCAGGACTGGGAAGAGGGGTGATGGTGTCTCCAAGCCCCTAAACATATCTTTACCTGGCAGCTGGAAGTGCCTGGGGATTGAGTTTGAGTTGCACACATAACTGAGTGTAATATGCTTTCTCTTGCAGTGTTAACACCTGGGGGCAGGCTCCCAAGACAAACTGCCCATGACTGGTTCTGAGGTGCCTCTTCACCACAGGTGATGTTCAGGCACCTTGCAAAGGCCTGAGGGTATGATCAGAACGTTCTGAGGGTATCATCACATAAAAAATCCAAAAGCCACAGCAGTTAACTTTAGTGTGCAACACTCCCTACTGCATCCAGCTCTCAGGTTATCGGCACAGTGTTGGGAATTGAAACTAATTCTTTAAATTACCAATGCAATGTATCCATCTGGCTGTGAAATGCCCTTAGAGGAGGGTATTCACCATCCTGTCACCTCCTCCATCCAGGACAAAAAGTGCCCAAGGTACAGGGCTAGGCTCTATCTCCTCATTATGTGAGATGGCTGAAGGTTCTGCAGGACAGATGTCACCTAGGGAACTGAAATCATCTGGTGGGGGTTGGATAGGTCAGCTGGGTAAAACTGGAAGGTTATAAAAAGGCTGAAAGAGGAGCAGACAGTCTCAGAGCCTGACTCCCTGCCAGCCTGCGAGCTCATAAATCGTGACTCCTTGGTACTGGCTCCCTTAGAGGATCTTCACTCTTTAATTAGAAAGTAACTGCACCTTTGGAAACTCCAGAATGACTGGCAAGCTCCTGGCTGTCATCTGTTCCTGAGAAGTCCAAACCTAAAAGGCTGAAGGTGAGCTGAGGTAAAGAGTGAGTGTGAGAAGCAAAGAGGTTTGCTTTGGTGTTGGGGTGACACGTGCACTCCAGCTTTGGGAAGGGATGGGCCCATGTACCTCTATCACTGATCCTGCATCATGTAGTGACATTAGATGGGATCTGATTTGCTTTCCAGTGTGCTTCACAAGCTGAAATGAGAAACCTGCTGTGGGTGGGAAGGGCAGCAATGGGCTGTGTCTGAGCCTGCCTTTGCAGAGGGGAGGTGCTGCACGGTGAGCTTTGCTTCTCAGCTGGATCAGATCCACAGCACAGACAGCACAAGGCCAGGATCTGTCACCAGGGCAAGTGCATCTTCTGTTTTGCGCAATTTGCCTGAGAACAGATGGCTGTGTTGGCTGCAAACCATCCATTATATAAAAATCAAAAATTATGCTGCAATGAAATAAAGCTACTCAGCTGTGTTGTTGAATGGATTTCAAACACTGACTATATAAGAAAATCAAGGATCTTTTAATGTTTCTAGTGTTTCTAGCCCTCCAGCCACTGCAGAAAAGCAACCTGCCTGCAAGGGAAGGGTATAGGCCAGTGCAATGGCATAAATAAAACCATCTCTTGAGTATTTGCACTAAATTCCTGGTACTTCCTAATAAGCCAGTTTCTTCAAGTACCACTGACTGTATAGATGTTCAGCAATGACTGCTTCCAGAGCTTATGACTCTACAGTAAAACAACACAACTTTACCTACCTCAAAAAATGACTTATGCATTTAAGTCTTGTTGACAAATACCCTACATAAAGCATCCACTGGAAAACAATACAGATTGGTGGCTAAACTGTCCCAATTTATTCATTAGAGTTGGATTCATTAATGCTCCTGTCACATCTTACATGATGCTACATATAATCTGTACTCCAAGAGTTTATTTTAATCCTTTTCTGACGTACAGTGTAGTGCAGAATCAAATCACACACAGCACAGCAATTGTGCTTTAATCACCAAGGAACTGGGGGAGGAAACATGCACATGCTGAGGGTAATGAATTGCACTTGAGTGCAAGTGGGAGCATTGCTCAACCCTTGAGTGAGTAAGAAAGGTAATTTTTTTTTTTCCAGAGAAGGAGATGTACTTTGTATCAGGCTCTGGGTCTGAATCTGTTTTTCTTTTTTTAAGGAACTGTAACACTAAATTCTATGCCTAAATGATGATGTCTTTGGGCACTAAAGGGACCTATGACCTATTGCACATATGACAGACTTACCCTGCTTACATACAGATTGCTCATTAAAAACTGATGGCTGGGTAAGGACAAAATAAATCTGTGCCAGGATTTAGTCTCATTGTTTGACTCAGAGCTGAGTATCAGTCTTGCTGAGTGAGATGCTCATGCTGCAGGACTGGTTTTGTCATATTTTAGTCCTGGGAATGCCCTACATAGGACTGCATTTTGTACCTGAATGTGAAACAGTAGTTTTTATGAAGATCTATCTCCAGTGGATTTACATGCAGACATTTTTGAGCAATATTTATAACACTCAGAGGTCTTTTAATCAGTACCATTTGAATTCTGTTAACTAACATTAAAAATTAACTGCCAGTAATGCTGTCAAATGTGGTGACTAAGTATTATTACTAGAAAGACTATTTTTTATAACTGTTTTCTCCAACAAATAATAATTAGTACAGGAGCTGGGTACACCCATGATAAACATGACTCTAACCTCTCCTGTTATTTGCTCTCCAGAGTTTTGGTTAAAGGGTTACTTCCCTTGGCAGCTCTGCCTTAGAGCACATACATACACCATTATAAATGCAAATAGCACTCAGAAAGCAAACTGACTGCTTTTTGTGTAGTTATCATAGGTATAAATTCAAAATATATATGATCATTCAGTCTAGAAATTTTGGCATTTCAGGAGTTAACCTTATAGTGCTAAAAATATGGATTAAAAGTAATATAGTAAATACCCTATTAAGATATTTTCTTTTTTACCCTGTGTCATATCCCACACTTGCATTCTAAGAGAAGCTTTTTTTGGGAACAAATCCTTTTCAAACATGTCAATAAAGAGCAGCTAGAACTATATGTTTCCCACTTCTTGAAATTCTGCTTTACACTTTTTGCTCAGCTGAAAAGTTACAAATGAGCATTCTATATTGAAAACTTCTAATTAAACTTCTGAAGAATTTTTAAAACACCATCTACAGCTACTGGTGAGGATGGATAAAAGAGAATGCCACCTTCTGCTGAAGAACAACTGTATTTAGAAGGAACTTGAGATTCTCATAAAACTTTTAATAGGAAGAAGTGAATCAAATTGGTTAATTACCATTTTATGGTGCTAAAAGGGCAAATTGCATGCCATCCATTTCTAAACTTCTAAATGTCTTCGATGCTTTTAATTAAAGCTGCCATCCAGGAACTAAAGCAATTTTATGCAATTAGTTATTTATAGGTTACCATAATACGCCACTCAAAATATGATTCAAGTGATTTGCAGTCTGTTGCCTTGTGATCTTTGTCATCTTTACTTCCTTACTGTCTCAGCACTAGCTGCAAAATATTCAGTAGTTTTTGTCAGTTGGAACACGACTTCAGCACTTGCACTTGAGTGCTGTTCTCTTTAGAGGCAGATCAGTAGCCTTGGAGCAAACAGTGTTTTTAACTACTGACTGTGAATGAAAATGTTCAGCTTCCAGCCTGAGACATGATGACTGGGGTCATCCTGCTGACATGGGTGAATGGAAAAGTGAATGATTTATGAATTCAGATGAATGTTGGATGAAATTTAGGAGAAAAACCTGCTATCCAAAAAGTTTATAATGTTCTACAAGTTTCCCATAGTTTGGAAATCATAGGTGGCTAAGGCCACTGAAAAGAAAAATAAGGAATAAATTTAAATGAATTAAAAAATACATAAGATTGGTGTTTTTTTGCTGATTTTATGATGCATATATAACAATGACTTGAGGCTGAAAATTACTTTGGCTTGTCTATTTCTAACTTTATATACTGCTAATGAAAAATCTAACCCATTCTACTTTCCTTTTTGACTTCTATGGAAAGGTTAAAAAGGTCTTAGGAATTTACAGAAAAGCAAAGATTGCTGGAAAAATAGCATTAATCATTACCTTTGGCAAGTGTGTCTGTTGTCACAAAAGGCTGTAATAGGAATTTGGTTGTGCATCCTACTGAAAGTAAAAGGAATCTTCCAGCTGAACAGGAGCAATCCTAAATGGGCTACTGCCACTTGACAAGAGCAAAGGTTTAGTATGAACAGCTCTTACAACTTTATTTCCTTTAGAATGTATTGCTGAGGATGAGGAGCAACAAAACTGATTATTTCAGGATGCAAGCTACTAGGATGAACACATCTTCAAAACCATGATTTCTTAAAGGAATATTTCCTTAGTAAAGTAATTGCAAGCAAAATAGATAAAACTACACTGAAGAACTGATTTTTAAATTATGCTTCATTTGTGTTTTTATCTCATGGCCATTGGTCTGAGTGAAAAAGTTCTTTCCTACAGCTGTGGAAAAGGTATTTTTGTGCATTGGATTTAGAACTTACTCCAACCTTCTCCATTCCCCATGTGCTTTCTCTGAGGTCACTGCACCTGCAGTGAGGTCACTGCAGTGCATCCACTGTACTCAGTGTGCAGTCAAATTCCTCGAGGCACTGACATGGCTTGCACAGTGTGGGCACCTAGTTCCAGACACTGGTCTGGACCCAGGAATCAAAAAGTAGACACTGCAGGACCTTAAATGTTTACATCTTTAAATTTAGTCCTTGGGTTTCCAAAAGGTGTAAATCACCCTGATGTTTAGGGTGGCATCACTGGAGGCACCTACTGTTTTCACAGAAGTTACACAGCTTGCATTCCAGCAGAGCTGTCCTGGGTGAGTGCTGCTCACAGACACAAGTCAATGAAATCAGATGTTAATGGACACTTTTCTCACCCTGCTGCTCAGCAAGAAAGTGGTAACCTGATTGTCTCCAACTCTCACTGCCTCTGTCAATTATGCTTAGAAAGTCAAATCTATTTACAGGTCTAAAGCCCACTGATTTCAGAAGGGGAGGGTAGGTAAGTGTTTAATGGTGTTGATTCAAGCATTGGCTTTGCACAAGTCCCAAGTATTTCCACTCATTTTAGTGCCTCTCACTGCTCCAATACTTGATGACTAATCCAGTTAAAATCAGAACATGATCCTCAAGTACCTTACCATAAATACTGATCAGATTGTTCAAAAGATAGTGCTGGCAACTAGATGTGCCATAAATTATTTCTATTAAAAAAATCTCCAAACCCACCAAACAGAATTCCCCACCCCAAAATTAAAATCTGATACTTGGTAAAGTTCAAGTGATTGGAATTCAGTCAATGATTAATATCTTGTGTAGTTACTTCTTCATTTTCAATATCTTCTTGTGTAATAAATGTGTTCAGCTTGTCACAGATCTTATTTTATGTCCCCACCTTGTATCATTTCACATTCTGCTTAAGTACTTGGTCATCTATTACATGACTCATTAGTCTGAGATCTCTACAGAATTAAAGAAAGTTGCAGTAAAAATAATATATTGAAGTTCAAATTTCAACTACATCAGCCATGCATGTTTGAAAGCATCTTTCAAAGTCAGCTCAACATACAATAGTGTAAGATTAATTTTCACTAAGCCCCATCTCCAGTCCTTCACAGAGAATTGGGAACAGACTGAACAAAGCTACATGTGTTGGCTATCTGTAAAATGAAAATTGTGGAAAGATGAAATCAGAATTGATTAGTGTTACTTCATTGTATTTTCCTGTCTGGCATTTAATTCCTGGTCAATAGGCAAAGACAGTCTTACCAAATAAAGATAATGAGAAAATAAACATTGATGAAAGAAATAATTAAATAACAATGTAGGACTCTCCTCAAACCTCCCTGCGTGTTCAAGGAACTAGAAAAATGGGTATGAGTTCAGAAAAGTTAAAGCACTTTTCAAAGCAACTTTCATCCAGAAAAGTAAGTAAGAAAGAGAATTTGAATTTCCACCTATTAACAAAGCTTTGAGGATGTTACCAAACAGGATTAAGTTTCACAAGTGTTACACAGTAGGTTTTTCATATCAATTTTGCAAATGGAAAAAGAGGTAACTAGATAACTCCTTATACTCTAGATAACCCCTTATATGCTTATACAAGCAGCTATTAGCAAAAATTAGAGTCCAACTTTTAAGATATAACTAACCAAGGTCAAACAACCACTAAATGGAGTCCTTTTTCACATACTATCTTTCTATCAAGTGAGAGGGAAAATAATTTTTCATTTTTAATGGGAAAAAGGAATACTCAGGACAAAAAAAAAGAATGCAAGCAAAGTAAAAAAGCTAGCAATATTCATGTATCAGCTTAAGAAATAAATACAAATTATTTATTGAATAATGCAAGCTATTAGATTTAATAACTTGGCAATTACTGTGTCTGGGACCTATGGTTGCACTGTAAAAATCTCAGAGGTATAAAACCAGAAACAATTCATTTATTTCTGTGGTCAAATGCTATATAAAACTGTGTGTCTGTGTGTCTAAGGACTTTTAAACATAGTTGAGTAGTTTTTGTCAAAATTTCCTGCTTCCTACAGGGAAGTTTTCTTTACACTGTTTGAATGCAATTTCAATAAAATTATGACATCTTCTGACTTGACAAATATTTCAAGAACAAGGAAAATAAGTGATCCAAAAGAATCTCTAAAACTGAAAAGTATGAGAGATATCTCTGTTTCTTAACAAAGATCTATGGGTACCAGGAAAACACCTCCTTCTACTTTCCAGGGTTATTCAACCTCTTTCAGTTCAGGGGAAAACAAGGACCTGTAGCTACTTGGCTGTTACTGATCCCACTGCTGGGGACCACGAGCTGATGCTGAATTTTGTTAGGGCCTGCACAAAAGGGCATGTGGCTGTCCAGACTTACTTGAGATTAAAATAAAAACCTAACAAATTGGATCATTTCAAACTGATGTTATTTAGAGGAGATGCATAAATCTAAAGCACCTGGGAGTCATTGCCTGAATTTGCCAACAGAAGAGTCATTGTCTGCTCACCATTTCTTTTTAGTAATTGCTGTCTGCCCAAGAACTCCTGACTTTTGTTCTTATTCCTCCTCATTTCTTTATGACTAGAACCTTCTATTAAGGAAGCAAGTATGAGTATCTTTAAAGTAAACAGTGTATCACAACATTTTCATCAACATATTTCCCACTAAGAAAAAAAGATGGAACAACTGATTGTATTGTAATTGGATATCATCAATTGTAATCAGAAATAAAACATTGATCACTTTCATAGAATCACACGTTCCTGATAAAGGATCTGAAAACCTTTGTTTTCTACTATTTTTAGAAGTGATTCATTACATTAATTAGCTGCCTGAGATCAACATTTATTTGTACTTACCTCACACTTACCTTCTATCATTAAAGACATACTAGTCACTCTATAATTACAATGTGTCTCTTGCTAAACCTTAAACCAGGATTATTTGCTTGTCTTAGAGGTATTTCTGCCTGGATGTACATTCTAATATCCTACTGATGTACAGCCTTCCTTTATTAGCTCAGGAAAAAGAATCAAAGCCCTTCCTTGGAGCCAGCTGTGAGCAGGCGCAGGGGAAGCGCAGCTCAGCCCACGCAGGGCTCTGCCTTGGGAGCTGCTGAGTACCCTTTGTTCCAAGGATTTCAGTGGGAGCTGAGGGTGATCAGCTGCTTTAGAGCACCAAATCCAGAGACTTTATCACAGTTCTAGTGCACACTGCAAGGGGATTAATTGTGGCTTTGGTGGGGATTCAAGGCTTCACATGCATTTTGCCTGTGACAATACTGGATGTACACTGACAGGGAGGCTGCAGGAAAATGCTTATTTCATGTGCAGCAGGGGAGATGCTCATCTTTTGCACAGTGTGTTAATAAGAAAGGACGAACTAGAGTTCCAAATAAACTCAATTTTGCTCGCTGATTTGAACAGCCCTGACTTACTGTGTATGAGTAAGCTCTGTTAACATTACAACACTCACCTGATGCATAACATCTGAAAAATGGACTTTGAAACCATATAATTTGTTTCAGAGTTACATATAATTAAATGTTGCCACCTTGCAATTGAAAGGTAATGAAAGAGGAGTGCTGTCATACAGGGAAGAGTAGTCAGAGAATTCTAGCTGGAGCCTGCTGCCCATGCTGATCTCTCATAAAGGCTATATGGCAGACATGAGTAAGCCTCATGAAGCGATTTGGCTTCATAGTTGATTAAATCATTGCCACAGACACATTTCTGTACATCCAGCTGCATCTGAGTTGCTCACTAATGACAGGAAATACAGGTGACCAACCCTAAGTACCCCAGACACAGACTTTTCTTACCTCTTGGGCTGTTGAGAGAGGCCTCGGCCGCCTTTCCACCATCCCCACAGTGACTCTGGTCAAAAGGAAGGCACTGATCACCTGTTCCTGCCACCACGTCTGCATTTTTGGCCAGATCCTTTGTTTCAGTGAGAGACTTTGCTTTGTAGACTTTTCTGGTGTTGGTATCTGATAAGTAAAGGGATTCTGACACTGGATCAACAGCCAAATAATATTTATGTGCAGGACTTGTACTGAAACAGAAGAGAAGAGCATCAAAGTCAACTTGTTTTTTTCTTGATAGTTTCTGCGGCAGCACAACAATTGTACTCTACTAATCTGAAGACATCAGCTCAGAGATTTGAAGAGGACAGAAGTGTGAGCAAGAGCAGCTCAAAACACCACCAGTGTCCTGCTACAGAGCATGACCAATGAGTTATGGGTCAGGGAGCTGGGGCAGAGACTGGGACTGGGGCAGTTGATCTGCCCATCAGTACCAAACCACTCAGGACAAAGCTAACTGGAGTGAATTCAGCTTAGTTGTAATTATTAGTATCAAAAGCAAGATCATTTTTCTATATCTGATACCTCCTAGTACTCTTGGCACTGAAAACAAATCTATGAGTCGCAGCAAAGTGAATCACAGGCAGTTCTGGATAGGCACAAATACCTACTCTTGGTTATTTTTATCTGTTTCTAAACCTTAGGAAATATGAAGGTGTGAAATATGGTGCCTTAATTCATGCCGACTCTATTGTCAGGAGCAAGGCAGAAGGCCAAGCACTGTCAGTGCAACCAGGGATGAATTAATGCACCATAATTCATGCACTGTCACTGCCTTATTGAGATTATAAAATGTTATTTAAAAAAATATTTACATATGTTAATTAAATGGTGGGGATCATAAATTCTAATCTGAAAACCGAGCTGCATCTTATTATCTAGTAAGACTTTAAGTTTCTTTTTCAGTGCAAAGTTAATTTCCAGTTAGAAGAAAATTTTTAAGCACATGGCACACCATGCTAGTGTCCTGAGCCTGCAGTAGGGCCTTACTAAAAATCCAGATAGAGAGCCTTTAAATCACACTGCTGGTTACTGAAATGGTGGGAGACAGGCACAGGCTGAGAGTTTAGGTGCTCAGAAAATATTTTTAACAACTACTGTGCTCCTCTTAGGGGGAGGAGGAGATTTCTGGAAAGTGGCTGGGTTCTATATGCCCAGTTAGATTAAAGAAATTGCAAAATATATCCCCCCTTCTTATTTTTTCAGGAGATATTTTATTAATATTGGTAAAATTAACTAACACCTAAGATTGCTGCAACAAAGTTGTGAAGTGAGTTCCTCCTCTCACCTGGGCCAGTTCTGTTTGTGGTGGGTTTGACAATGCTCAGTGATATCCCCAGAGCTGGGGAACAGATGTGAAACCCAGTCCTAGGAACCACAGGGAATGAGAGGGCAGTGGTATGATGAAAGATGAGTAAGAGGATGAGCTAAAAGCAATTAATCCCAAGGTATCACCACTATAAAATTTGTTTGTTGAAAATATCAAGAATCATTTTTGCTCTCTGGATTGAGGTCAGGAGTCACTGGCCAGCCAAATGATGACTTTTAAATAAAACATTTCTACGAAAAAAGTTGCAAGGAGAATTCTAGATTTTAAATAAACATGTTGTTCAGTATGCAGAAACTGCAGAGAACCAGGGGTCACTCTATATTCTCCTTGTAGACACATTTTCTGTCATCCTTGTCGTTAGATTTAATAGACCAGCTGTTAGAAAACTCTTCATGTTTATGCTTAAAGCCTTGCATACTAAAATGCTTAGAGTATAGTAAAAAATGGAACACAATTAAAAAAACTTGCTATTTTTGCAGAAGATTGTAATCGATATAAATCTGAGTTGACTTAAATTAACCTTTTGAAAACTATATGAAGTAGACTAGGATTTAAAATTAATCTTTGCAGTACTGTTCTGTACTAAATTTTTCTCTGTACTTTTCTTGAAGTTTAGTTTCCATTTTTACCAGTTAAATAGCTTTGCTATAGCTTATTAAAATCATGATGACAAGAAAAACAAATGGGATAAGGTGTTTGTAAACACCAAAAACAAGATCAGTGGCATTTTCTATTTACTGGTTGCCAAACTCTCCCTTTTTACACTTTATTGTCTTTTTTACATGGTAGAAAGAACTCCTTTGAAGGCTAAAAGTTGTGTAGAGGAGTTGGATTTTGAAGCCTTTTCCTGCCTGTAATGTCAGGAGCCATCTTTTACCTGCTGCTTCTACGTGTTTTTTTGAGCAGTCTATAAATTTCCACCATGAGTATGACCTTTACAGCCTCAAGAGAATGGCACACAGTGGGATTGTTGAGTACTCCCCTATGACCTCAAAGACTACATTAACTTCAAGTGATTTCCTCTTATTTTCTACCAAATTTGCTTGGACAGAATAGTGACAGAGACACTATTATTGTAATTAAAAGGGCTGGAGTACTTGATATTGTCATAATTAATTAAGGTTGAAGTTCATCTCAAGAAACGAGTACTAGTGAACAGGCATTAAAAAGAAAAAAATCTACTTTATGAAAGAAACCTCTAAATGTAAAAGCTGCTTTATGCTTTGAATGCATTATAGAGAAATTTAGTTTACAAACATACTGGTCAGTTTAAAGCAAGTGGAAACGACCCTTCAGTTAAAAAATGGAACTTTGCACTTACCAACTAGGAATTATTCTTCCTTTTTAAGTTTTAATTGCAAAATATATGAGATGTGACATAATCTGGTAAATAATTTATAGTACTCAATAGCAGTCCTGTGGCTAAAGTGAGCAATTCCAACCAATATTCTCATGCTGTAAACACAGCTCAGTCCACACTCTGCTCCCTACTATGCCATGCAGTTACTGTTTTATATTGTACTAGTGCTGGTTTATTTATCTCATTTAAGTACTGGAATGCTAAAAAGTTTATTTCTAAGGAGACAGAGTGCCTTGCTGCCTCTTTCTAGCATGCAACATCACTTCTGCAGCTGGACTGTTGGAACCAACTCCCTCACCGTCTGTCACAGAAGCCGAATGTGCAATGTTCATTCCTTTAAAGAAATCCCTAAATTGCAATGCAAAAATGCCAGCTGGAAAGGGGGAAAGCCACTTGCTTTGTCTTTAACTGGAGCAGCAAGGACTGAACTTTGACACAGCATCTTCAGCTCTGGGCTCTGCTGTGTGCTCTGTAACTGGCAGGTTTTAAAGCTCATGGTACCCCAGAACCTCTGAAGCACAGAACACCAAAGTACAGTGTGTTTCTGTAGCCCTTTAAACTATTTTTTAAGTAGCTAAAGCTCTTGTTTCCTTGGATTGCTATATCTGTGATCAGTTAAACATCATGTGAAATGGGCATGACAGCTATGAAATGTACTCTCAGTGTTCAGGTTTAAACCTGTCCATCTCTTCTTGGTGATCAGGAAACTGATATTTAGAGGGAGACTTTACTCCTTTAAGGAGAACAAATCAAACTTTCTGAACTATAAAGAAAGGTGAATTTGATTAACATTTGCATTTATTACCATTTATATTTATTAAATTCAGAGTGTTTCTCTATATCCTGACTTTTAAAAGGACTTTTGTAAGACTGTTTCCTCGAACGTGGTTTACATACCAGTTATTACATTTTACTTACCTGTGTCTTGTGTCTCTATTCCTGGAAAGGCAGATTGGTTCAGGTTTAAAAGGAAAGAGAAAGACAAGGAATGTTAGTCCCTGACAGAACTGTGCTCTTTGCCTGACTGCTCACAGACCTGTATCCCACTAACAAAATACTGTTTATCCTCTTACTCGGTATTTCATTCTCTCAAAATGTTTCCTTTGTGCTGCCCACACATTGCCAAGTTAATTCTGAACAATCAGCACACAGAATCATCACCAGAAATGTTAGCTAGGTGGATGCTAAATAAGACAAATTTAATGTATTAATGTCCAAAATCTTTCCTGCCTTCCCCTGTGTACCTCAAAGGGAAAGGGAAACTGAGGTGATAATTACAGGGGAGTCATTAAGGCAGCCCAGGCTCAGCCTCTGGCATGTCTGTGATGCCAGGTTTGCTCCTGCCTGCTTGAACTGAGCTCCATCCTCTGCTCATGAGAGGATTAATTGCATTAACTGTAAACATGGTAAGTCACAGTGCTGTGACTTGACATGATACTCTGCATGTTTGCTGTGGAATTATGCAGCTTTCTTCAAAAATATGCATCATGATATATTTTAACTATTGGAGAAAATGTATGGAAAACCTCACAGGAAGAAAAATCAGCTTTATTAACTCTGCAATTATTCATTATGCAAGACCTGTTCTATAGGCCACTTAAAACATCCTATTTAAGTGATAACTACAAGTAGGTGTAAGTTTTCTGGTAAGTTGGTTTGATAGTTGATAACATACATGGCCTCAAAGCAACCTCATGTGGCTATTTCATCAAGTCCCAAGAGATAAAAGCTCACCCAAGTTTTTACAGCATATCACAGCCAGGATTATGCACACTGATCAGAGAAAGCTAATTATTTTTTTACCTTAATTCTAATATACCAATGGAATTTCCAGAGGGGAAGATCCGTCTGACATAATTGAAATCCCCAATATAGACACTTCCATCAGGCCCAGAAGCAAGTGCAACTGGGGCAAAGAGTTTGCTGTTGAGGGCAAGCCCATTGCAGTTGGAGCAAGAGACACTCCTCTGGTGCCCATTGCCCATCACAGTGGAGATGACTGGAGGCTGCTGGGAAATGAACATGTTTTCCCCATTTCCTTTGTGCACAATTCCTAAAGGGAGGGGAAGGAAGAAAACAGAGACAAAATAAGCAAATGAATGGCATTTAAAGTATTCTGCAGGTTTGGATTACAAAATCCTCTAGAAAACCAGATTACCAAAATAGCAACAAACATCTGATATTTTAAAGTCGCAGGGCTCCCCTAATATTTTCCAGTTTTGTTCATCATTTTGCTCACTGTCACCATTTTGTTCAGCAGTGGCTAGTGGCTATTTTAAAGCCAACATCAGGAGGAAAACTCATGGTTGGTTAATGCTCTAACAAATTGACTGCTAATTGCAGTGCTATCTGATTTCTTGGGGATTACTGCTTTAATATTCATTTTATTCATAAATTTTTATTAGGTAGCAGAGGAATTTCTTAGGCAGTTTGAATATTTAATTAAAGGAGATTAATAGCAGGACTACTCTGCATTTTTCACAAAAGAGCACCAAGTGGCAGTACAAAATCAATATTCAAATTCAGCTGTGAGTCCTTCATGGTATATGAAAATGGTGCCAAGTGCAGCAAAGCCAAGTGAAGAGTCAAGGAGCAATTGTGAAGCACCAGTGGCTTCCCAGCAACATCCTACCTTCTGCCATAAAGGCTAGAACAGTTTATTCTAGCCCTGCTCTGCAGCATACACTGTTTAAAGTCTTCTCAATTACCAGGTTGGTGATACCAGAACTAGTACAAAGATGTGTTTTCTCAAGCTGACAGCTATAGTGTTTATTTTAAGTAACAATGTGGTAATATATTTAAGAAGCATCTTTGAAATGACACGTTATTCCAAGAATTTGGCTACTGCGAACAGAAGATAGGTACTCTTTTAGATCCTAGTCCAAATTTCTTATTTCCCTTGAAAGGCCCAGTACTTCATCAGAACATTGACTCTATTAAAGGAACAAACACAAGGGAATTTACTTTCTGGAGGACTCCTGCTGGGAAATGAGAATATTCTAGACACTGTAGGAAGTACATGTTGAGACATGTCTGAGTTTTCCCAAAGTACAGCAAATGTATTTATGTATTGTCTCTACCAACTTCTATTTAAACTATTTTTTGTGACTTTCAGGTAAACCTGAAGATAAAATTCACCTTGGAAATTACTGAATGTTGCCAAAGCTATTTTGAAGGGAATTATATTAAAAAAAAAAAAATCTAGGAACAATAGAGGACAGAATGCACAGATTTGTTTGAATGATGGCTAAAAAAAAGCATCCTGGAAATATTCCAGTAAAATAAATGGCAATATTCTCTCTTATGCCGGGGATAAAAATACTATGAAATGAAGATGCTGCCCTTTGTCTGAAATGACAATGTTAAGGTAATCTTTCAACACCCTCTTACAAATGCCAGTAAATAATTAGGGCTCTGGAGAATATGTTTTGCTGTCAATAAATGTGTGTGCTTAATATCAGGCTTGAGAGCTGCTGCTTTAATTTCAGTTGATGCTCTGTTCCACTGGGGTTGAAATTACCTTAAAGCATAAAGTTCCTCTAAAACTACTCCTCCTTGCACCAAAATGGAATCAGTCCACTTTTCCATCAGAAAAAAAATTTTAATTCAAATAACACCCTGAAAAATTGGTTAATACCACATTCATTTGTATTCATGAGACACAGGTGTCTTTAAAAGACATCAGTGTAGGAGCTAATACTTACAGTATCTGTTTTCTTCTTGATTATGAGAAATGCCCTGATGATCTTCCAAACTGACAAAAACCTTGGTACCAGAAAACATTAAACTGTAATCATGTCACAAATTAAAAAGTGATCAAACCTCCAAACTGGCGAGGAAAAGAAAGTAGGAAAACAGCAGAGGAGTACAGCTGAGAACAGGATGTGATCCTTTGTTAACCTAACAGCCAGACTGATGCTAAACTGCATACATTTAAAAGAACTGAGCTTCCAGTGACAGCCCCATTGGAACAGTATTTGTTATTTCACATCAATTCTGCTGGAATCAGGCAGAATTTTTTTGTCTTTCTTTTTGTAAATCCTTACATCTGTCAGTAGAACACAGTTTTCACTTGCTAAGGTTTCTGCATGTCAATACATGTACTTCCACATTACTATGAAAGGCAAGTCTGTAAAATTGCATCTATTTCTTGTAACTCAGTTTATTTTGTAACTTCTCAAAATTGAGCAACCTTCATGGGGAGGGAAAGAAGAGTATCTATCCTGGCTCTGAGCAGAAATGTTGTGCACAGTAGCAGACCTGCTGGGCAACCAGGCTTAACAGCTGAAGTTAGATATAAGCTCTTCAGGACTAGTAAATCAAGCAAAATGCTTCTGCTTTTAGTTCGAAAATAAAATTGCAATTTGCAGTAGAGCATGTTATATTCCAATGATGTTTCTGTAGTTAATCCAGTGGCAGTGTTTCAAAATCATAAAAGTTTCATCCTTCTAAAAAGAGCAGTTCTTCATACATACAGAGGAGATGCTTTAATTAAAAAGTGAAAAATCTTAATATATTCATACTCAAGCAGGCTACTCAATGCTTTTCATATCTGTCTTGGTGGCATGGAGAGAAGTCTAAAATACATAATTCTAGTCTGAATCATATTCTTGTCCTTATTTAAAGCCCATGTTATATATCTGAAATGGAAGTGCAGTTCACTTGTTTTTAGGTAAGACCAGAAGCACACTTGTTATTTTTATCCTTTTGGTTACCACAGTTCATTATTTTGTTTTGTTGCTTTAATATGAACCTACAGGCTGCTCTGGTAGGTGTGCACCAGCTTGTTATAGTAATTGTTTTCCTAGCTGCTGTACATGAGCCAGGTGTGGGTGCCCAAAGCCTGTAACAGTCCTGAGGAAGCCCTGGCACACCCCTGAGCCTGGGCTTTGCCACCTCGCTGGAGATGCTCTGACAAACAAACTGCAAACAGAACAGCCCCTGGATTTCAAGTCAGATGTCCTGATGCCCTCTCCTTCCCTCCTGTGTCTGCAGGTGATGGGTAAAGGTGTTTGGCAGCTTTCCCTGCCTTCACCTTTGATGGTGCCCAGCACAGGGGGAACATGTGAGGAAGAGGAGCAGCTGCAGGAAGCTGCACATTCCCCATCAGTGCAGTGGGCACAGCCCAGCTGACCTGAGAGGAGGTGGCCTGGAGCTGACAGCTCAGGGCTCTCTGGCATTCTCAGGCACACAGCTGAGATGGGGACAGGAAGCAATTTGTCACCACACTCCTCGTGCTCAGGAGAGCAATGGCTTAGCCCAGCTTGGATTATAATTGTGTACTTTACAAAATCTCAGAACATGTTAGTGCCTACGGGGTGAATTGTGGTAGTAACCACTGCAGTTATCAGACAGTCATATAAATTAGAGTTACTGCCAGCAATTTAGTCTTGAAATTAAACTATGCAAGTGGTAAATTGGCACTAAGGAGCAGACTATGGGACTCACAGTTGGGGGCTCAGCTGACTGAGGTCAGATTTCTCTTTGTTAAATGTCAATAGCTGGCATTTAAAAGAGACAATCTATACAAACCAATAAGACAGGGAATGAAAGAACTGGTGTTTAAAATGTCAAACTATTTTAAATCAAAACAGAAATCCAGATAATTTACAAACTAAATCTGACCTTTTGTATTTGGAATATTTATACTGTAGCTGTGCATTCAGCAACAGAACTTGTAAAACTTGAGAGCCATACATCTGTGCATGCATCTTTTTACCAACAGAAATTTGCAGATGGAAATAGATTTTATTGGACTGACTCTCAGCTGGAGCAAATTGAGAGAACTTTTCTGAATCCAATACTCTGTTGACTTATAAAGTGCTAAAATATGACCTCAAGTTTCTCTTCTCCTGGACGAGATATCAGTTTATTGGCAAAACCATATATAGTTACCATAACTTATCTACAAGAATTGTTTTAATAATTCAGCCCCACTAGTTCCTGATCACAGATGGTCATAGAGGAAAAGAAGACTCCCCAGGTGTAAAATAAAAGCACTGGGAAAAAAAATATTCAAGCCTCCATGCCTGAAGAATATCTCTGCAGGGTTAATGTTATGACACCAAAAGCATTTACAGTTTGTTTTACTAATGGTTTGAAATGTGTTGGATTGCTTTTACTGAGGAGGGACTTACTGTGCTTCTGCACAGAGTGGGAGCCACAGAAACTGTACAGGGACTGGCAGTGTGGGATTGGAAGTGCTGCTCCATGATCAAGCAGGGTTTGTCTGCCTGGGGCTGTGGCTGTAACAAACTGGTGGCAGCCACAGGAAGAATTAGGGGTGAAGACACTTCACTGGGAATGTAACACTACAGACTGACCTGAAATGTGGCACTTCTATACCAGCTGGGTGAGAATGAACCCAAATTAGTTTGCCCTTTTCCCATCTGAATGGCCACAATGTGTTAACAATTGCAAGAGTCAGTGATATTAATGTCTAAACCCTGAGAGCTAGAACGTTCAAAATATCCTTTCACATGGCATTTACAGTTCAGCTCTCAATACATGAGGGTGCACCTTCAAAGAGGATTACACACTAGGAAGTGTAACACTTAAAATCTGAACAATTAATTCCTTTAAAATTTGCATTCTCCTTCTGCGTGGGCAGTTAATAAAGGAGGGACTTACCACTTTGTGGATTTAATACATGGTGTTTGTTTATAGACCAGCCACCCAGATTTGAAGCATCCATTTCAAAGCCTTGAAGGATTACTGTTCTCTTCTCCCACAGAATAAAATCAGGACATGTTTCATATTCATATCCCACCGACACTGCAAACAAATAATTAAAGATCTCTCAGTCTACCTTTTCCTCTGTGAACTGCAAGGCACTTTTACATTCCAGGTTTTGATATTCATCTGTCAAGTAATGATGCCACTAATTTTCCTCTGCCTGATTGTTATTGTATGGTATTTTTTGAAAAAAGGGTTTAAAAAGATTATTATGTTATTACAGCTATAGTTACTACTGCTTCAAAGCAGAAAATAGTCTGTGGTATCAGTTATGGATTTCATAAGATTACAAATCTCCTCCAATGACTCCTGACTTGATTGTTTATTGCATTTCTGCTAATTACCTGAATAACAGCTTAAATAGAAAGGAATCCATGCTAAAACAAATTGGTTTTAATTTGTTTGCAGACTATAAAAATTATAGTTAGGCAGAAATGGATTGACAAGCTGAACATTTCTAGAATTACACATTTATCTTAACAAGCTTGCATATTACCAAAATACCTGATGAAAAATCTTCAATTTCCCTAAGGATGGTGGGTCTTGGGAACTCAAATTGATTACAATCCTTTTCCTTTAGTTTCCATAAAACAAAACAAAACTTCTACTTTTTGGTATCTCTAACATACCAAACATTCAAAAAAATTATATATCTCTAACTTTACTAGATTTCAGTGAAATCCATTAATAAAGGAAGAAAAATTTTTTGACACCAAATTCCATAATTTGATCTAGGAAATACTGAAATAGTTCAATCTTTCCAAAATAGAAATGTTGAAAAAAAGATTTTAAAATAGAAAATAAAAAAAACCCATTAAACATTTTTAATAGTTTCTTTTCACTTTTTCTATGTAACAGCTTTAGATATATTTTACTTTAACCATAAATAGTTTTAATACCACCTAAATTCCATTATTGTATACAATCAAAATATTTTGACCAGCTCTAACAGGGAACATTTCTGTTTCTAAGATAAATGTTTTATGGCAAACTGAAAGCTGTTCCTTACAGTAACAGACCTAGAGCTCCTTCACCATTTTAGCAGAAAGAACCTGTTTTTGCAGCAGAACTCTAACTTGTAAAGATCACATTTCCTTAAGTACTGTAAATATGGTACATTTCAAACATTACAGGTTTCAGTTTGAGGGTCCAGCAGCCACTTTGTCCAATTCCTCTGTTACAGGAGCTCTTACAAGCAACACCAGCAAAGCTTCTGGGTTCACCCTGAGCTGAGAGCCCAAGAAAGGGCAGGGAACTTCCAGGGCAGCCACATCCTGTGCTGGCATGAGTCAGAAGGGTTCAGTAACCAAGCACACTGTTCTCTAGGTGTTAATGCAGAGAGAAGATAAAGGGCAGATTTTTCCTCTGAAGCAACCTCACATTTGCCACCTACACATGAAAATTTTTCCTCCGTTCAATCCTGGGTCAGCTGTGTGTGCCCTTCAACACAGCCCCCAGCCTGGCTCAGGGACCCATCAGGGACACACAGCACAGTTAGCAGCTCCTGGGAGGGACTGTGCTGAGAGCTGGGCAAGGGAGGGATAACAATTTACAGAGCCTGGAATCTGGGCCCATGGATCCACTGGGGCATCATTACCAGGGTTGGAGCTAACTCTGCAAACCTCAGTTTTCCCTGCCTACATCTGATGTTTCTGAGCTGCCAAATACTCTCCAGGGATTGTAGCACCCCCTTTCTTAGAAGTTCACTGCTCCCTGCTCTCTTACTGTGCATAGCTGTCATTTTGTCCCCTCTCATCAGTGATACACATATGGACTACACTCTGTGTGTCTACAACCAGGTTTCTATGTGAATTTATCCATATTTATGAAAGACACCTCTGCTCTGTGCTCCAAAAAGAAATATCTGTGTGATCTTAGACCAAGGTTCTCCTGATCCATCTAACTGGAAGTCCTGGTGTTACTCCCATGAAAACTTCCTATCAGTCATTTTGCAAGCCGAGTAATCAAGGCAAAGCATAACACTGGTAAAGTCAGTAGGATGATTACAGTGCCACGTGAGAAGTATTCTGTTAGGCACAGGTTTTGAGAAATGTCATTTTGTAACTGAAACTAAAATCTTGGCCAGCTTACCCTCATTGTGGGTTGTTACTTTCTGGTCCAATTAATTTATAGCAGATTTGAGGTGACTGAGATTTCACTGTATAAATGTGAACTTGAGCAACTATGCTTTAGATTTTAAGAGTCAGCAAGTACTGTTCTTTGCAGTCTCAAAATGGATTTCAAAAGATCTACTGATCATCTGTATCAAAACCCAATTCTTTTCATACAACTGCTAAGAATAATCAGTGCCAGACCTACAGCTTAAGACATAAAAGACACAATTAACCAGGACAGTAACCTCGACTTCAACCTCCCCTGAAATATTTGTACTTATCTGCATCCATCTTCTTTGGACAATGAATAAAATTCAACCACAGCACCAGGTAGGGCTGCTGGAGAGCTCATTTATGCTCATCCCCAAGAGAGTTCATCCTTTCAGTTCCCTCACTGCTGCTGTGTGGGATGCAGGGATTTGCATGAGTTTCTATGGAGTTCACAGGAGCATTTATTGAGGATTTGACTGAAATCCTTTTCCTGGGTTAGATTACAAGGGGACATAGACTTTACCCCCAAACTTTTATGTGTCAATATTCACATGATACTTATTTATTCAGAACAAAAAATGCTGCTTTGTCATCTCAGTTGTTACTCTGAGAAAATGGCCTCTTTTGGGGACTGGACACATGCCAGCAAACATTTCTCCATCAAGTTTAAACAGAACCATTTGCATGCAGAAATATGCTCAGAAAGTCTTGTTTTCTGTAACTGGTTATGTGACCAGTGCTGTCAATAACCCCAAAGAAAAATATAGATGTTTATAGTATTCAGAAAACCAAAAGCAGATGGTTATAATACTGAGTTCTAAGACTTCAACCTGCTCCAATTTAATTTAATTAAAATGAAAACTGAACAGAATGCATTATTAAATATTGGTAATATACTGACAGAAGAAATTATTTTGACAAAAATTCATATAATGCATGCAGATAAAGGTCCCTGAGTAACCACAGTGTGTCAAATTAAATAAAGCTTTATTGGAATCTAACAAAGCATGCGAGTAATGCACTTAAAATATCAAGATTTTTGCTTCTATTTTGAAAGAAGCATAATTAACCTAACTTTAAGGAAAAGAAAAAAAATTAAGCACCAATTAAATAATTTAATAGCTGTTACCCAGCACTATTGTGCAAGCTTTATTCATATTTAAACACATGAAGCTCATCTACTCCTAATTTGGTTAACTAACTACAGTATCATTTCATGAGATGCTATGTATTAGAATTAAAATGTTTTAAATTCTGGCTATGTACTGGACTTCCCAATCATTAGAGGACTCTTAGATGATGCAGTGGGAGCAGTGTAGTCAACTGCTCCCTCTCAAACATGAGACAGTGACAGCCTCTGGACACAGGGCACACACAGCTGTGCTGAGGAAAGCCCCAGGTGGCACCTGTGACCCACCTGGTCCTGCCTGATCACCCATGGCAGTGCCAAAGGGGAAGCTGGAATATTTTTTATTTGTGGATTTGCACAAATATGTGCTAACAACTCACCTGATACCTTCCTTTGCTGCAAAACCAAAAGGAACTGGTATCAGCAATGGGACAAGGCTGGATTTGCCCTCTCACAGGGTCTCTTGTATCTCAAGAGGCTGAGAAGGGCACTGCTGTTCCTTGCCACACACCACACCTGGGAATGTTCAGAACCTTGGTGTCAGTGCCAGCACCTGACTGACCTCAGGAAAAAGTTGGGGAGTCAGTCTTCTGAGGTTGGAGTTTGGACTCCTTGAGGCCAATGCAGTATGTGAGCTACAGCTGGAATGAGAAGACCTGAGCTTCTGCATGAGCATTCATAGCAGATGAGGAAACTAATGAAGCCAAAAATGTATCACTTATTCCTTGGTTGCTTCAGTTTTCAGCTGAATTTGTTCCTGATCTGGCTCATTTCATGATCAAACGAATGTGAGTGGTGGCCCATGGGTAAGGAGAGAACGTGGGACTGTCCCTGCAGGCAGCAGCTTGTGTTGTGTGGGGTCAAGGAGACAGCAGGACCACAGCCCTAGGAAAACCTTCATCTGACCTTTTCCTTAGCATATTGCATTATGTAATCACACTGCACAGCTTGGTCTCATGGACCATCATGGACATCCCTGTCTGTCTATGCCTGCATCATTCTCAGGAAAGAAATGCCAAGGAAAATGCTGAAATGCTCATTTTCCCCACTGCCTCCCCAGAGAACCATGTCCCAGACCACCTGTCTGGGAGCACACAGCAACACTGTCACACACCAGAGCCCTGGGAGCTGCAGAGCCTGGCTGGCACCTTTTGCCTCTGCACAGGCCACTCTTCATGGACAACACAACAGGTCCTGAAGGAAGCTCCTGGCTGCCCCTCAGAGCAGCATTTCAATGTGGAATGAAGCAGATTCCTTGAGAGGGTGCACAGCTCTGTCACCCCTCCCCTGCTACTCTTGCCTGACAGCCTGATCTGCCAGTGCTGCTGCTTATTATTGCCCTAAAAAAAAGAAAACAGAACTGCTACCAAAGTGAATGGGGTTGATTCACAATTCTAAGCTTTGCTTGTGAAGTAAGTAATTCTAATACAAAGCATCTATCAGTCCATTAAACAACATAACATCAAATTGAATTAAAAAATAGAAAGCCCTTACAAAAACAAATAACAAAATTAATGAAAAAAAAATGCTGGCTAAATAAAATGTGTTTGCACAGACAGCACTTTTGTAGCAATTCTCAGAATAGCCTGTGCTGCTTGCTGAACAAAGCCTATGAAACATGATGATTTTTGGATAAACATCTTTAAACAACAAATCAATTAGTTTTAACTATTGGGGACATGAAACGTAGTAAGAAAAGATGCCCAAAAGTTAGAATTTTGCAAACCCTAAGTGGAAATGACATTTTAAATGTCACAGCCAAAAAATGACAGAAACAATGACACACCAAAGGTCATATTCAGAGTAACATTCAAAAACAGAGACAGCTGAATATAATGCCATTAGTACATAACCATTCTCTGAGGGAAAAAGGAATTTTCAAATTGATTAAATTAGAAAGATGACATTGGAAGAACAAGAAAATAAATGTTCTTGGGAAATCATACAAGTCACTTCAGTGACTTTAGCTAAAGAGGCATTTGATTTAAAAGAATGTAGGAGCAGCAACAAAATTTATCTGCCATATTTTCCTGGCTTGATGTATGTGAGTGCTTCTGCTTACATCAAGGTGATTGTACATACCCATTGCCTCAGCCAGACCAGAAACCTTCTGTCCATATATATCTGTCTTATTCCAGGCAAACGTGTACACCAAATTGGCTGCAGCAGGAAACCATTTCTGAAGCAGACGACCTTCAACAGCAACCATCAGATGGACTTTGGCCATTCCAGAAGGGATGGCTGCGTGTGTCAGAATAATGCGCAGCAAAGTTTTATACCCCGGTGTCCGACTGCTGAGATAACTGAGCTTCACAAAACTTGATGGAATTGCGATTTCCTCTTGGACCACCTTGGAAAAAAACACATCATTGTATCTACAGCCAAGAAAAATGCAAAAATTGTAACACTAAGACAAGGCAATTATTTCACATTTCACAGTTATGGTGTGAACACAGCACCACTGAAACAACTGGGTTTATTTCAGCAATGCAGTAGTCAGGCACACGACAAAATGTCCAACATCAGACCCTGCTTGGTCAACTTACTGGATGGCAGCCTGTCTGTCTGATAAAGAACCTCTTCCTCTGATGCTTTACTCTTATCTACTGGGGAGCAAATACTGCATCCATGCACATATATTCTTACATATAAGCTGCACAGTTTTACCTTGTCTTTATACTTGGTTTACTTAATAAGTGCTCTTAACTGGAATACAATAAATTTTTTTTAAATATTCACACGCCTTCTATCATATACATTGTGATGTAAAGATACTATCTTACTTTGGAGACAATAACTTTAAGTTGGGGAGTGTTAAGAAAGAAAAAAACCCTTCCTGCTAAACCATCTGTGCAGTTAGGCCAAGCTCCAGCAAGAAGAGGCACGGTGTATAAAGGAGCAGCATTAGGAACCCAGCAAGCTACCTGGGAAGACACAGCAGTGAGGATCAAACAGCCTGAGCAACAGAGTCACCCTGCTCACAGGTAAGTCCCCAGGGAGTGCAAGTGCACTCAAATCCCAGGGCCCTGCTCTCAGTGCTGCTGTCTGAACCACCTGGATTAAAGCAAGCTTGGATATGCCCACTGCGGGCTGGTACTGATTCCCACTGCAGTGGAGATGAGCCCTCAGCTACACGAGGACTGCAAAGGCTCTGAGCTTGTTAGGTGAAAAAAGAAATTTGTTCTTGACCTTTTGAATGATGTGGGCCTTGGAGCTACAAAAAGGGATTTAGCTCCTGAGAGAAAAGAGCTGTTCTGGGACAGACTGTGAGGAAGAACAGGCAAGAGACAAGAACAGCTTCTTGGAGGATGCTACCACAGTCACTCAAAAGCCACCTGAAAACTAGACTGTGCTTAACAAGGTTAATGATGTTTGTGCATTTCTGTACTAATGAATAAACCTGTCACAATGTTAAATTCATCACGCTTGGAAAAAGACAAACTCTTTTGTTTATATTTTCCAGTTTTAAAATTTTCCTTATTTAACAATAGATTACTTCACTTTCAGCCAATTTTATTTACACACTGCAACAGTATCACTGTCACAGCATTGCTGCAGTACAGCTGGAGGCCTGCCAGCACTTGTCGTTTCAACATATGAAATGTAGTGTTGCCAGGGAAATCCTGCTCCCTTTATTGTTCCTGATTTGCAGAGTTCCCCTTCTTTCCTGCTGACATCCCAGCTGCCCTCTCTGTCATGCATCTGACATTCCTTTTCATTTTGTAATAAAAAAGTAGGAAGGAATACTCACACATTAATACATGCTAATGTAGCTCTGTCTCCTATTATTCTCAGTTAATTTTTGCTCAATTCCCAGAACCATACAATGAAACTCAACACTATGAAACCTCCAATGACAAAAAAAAAAAAAAAAAAAAAAAAAAGCAAAGAACTGGGGAGTGGTTTCTGAGTAGACTGCATCTTTGAGTACCCCACTGTTCGAAAAAGACCATGGCATACCTCATGTGGAGCACTGTGACCCAGTTTTTTCTTACTAGTGTGCAGCACTTATTCTTAATTTATGTTCATTAGTTTCACTTAGTACATTCTGTGAAGCAATGCTATGACCATCAACTGGATGAAGCATGATAACAGTTATGGAGGTGTTTAGACATAATTCAGTTCAAGCAGAGGTGTCTCACATGTAGAATAAAGTAGCAACATTTTTATGAGGCTACAGGTACCCCCCAAAGTATCTTCCAGGCTTGCTTAGTGAAATTAAAAGAGAACTCAGAAGAGGTCATACTCTTTAAAATCTAACTGCTCAAACAACATACTAAAAATTAAGGGCTTTAATATGACCTGAGCTGTGTTTTGTTGTGTGCTTGACTCTCAAATGTCTTTTAAGTCCCAAGTAAAACAACAGTTTCTCACAACGTTAATTAGAAATGACTTTAAACACTTAAGAGAGAGTCCAGAAAAAATATATTGAAATTTTAAAAAGAAGTCCTAAAGATCATGTTAAAATTTCTCTCTACCTTGGTAATAAGTAATTAAAGTAATAAAACCCAAGAATCTGACATAACGCTGTGAATGGATGAAACACCCCTAGGAATGTTCAAAGCATCATGACTCACATTGATGTTTGGGAAGTTGTACAGTTCATCTGTAACTAGGAATGGTTTTGTGCTTCACTACCAACAAATCAGGATTTCAATAATAATTCATATTAGCATTCCCCACTTTCTTCTACTTGAAGGTAAGAAATAAAACACTTTTAAATATTAAAAGTAAAGAAAGAATAGAGACAACAGAATCTTGTTAAACAGTGCCAAAGAGATGCATTGGTGCTATTCTGCCAAGTGAGTGGCATTACAGCAGTTACTGGCTCACTATCTTTGAAGATTGTCTAAACCTGGTTCTGCAACAGAACAAACTGTTAATTTAGAAGTCTTTTCATTACCTGTAGTTCTGGAATAACAGTTCCTCTTTCAGGACAGGACCCTCCAAATGCTGTCAAGGGGGAAGGGAGTACAATTGGATTTGGACTGATAAAACTACTGATGTCACAGGATGGTGTGTCCGACTCTGTTCTTTGCATTACAACTTTGTCTACAATGATAAATCTATTCCAAGGCAACCAAAGTGTTCTTTTTTCAGATAAGAAAGGAGATCTGTCAAAAACTAGAGTGACAGAGATTCCTCCAACAGCCACAAGGTCAAAACTGAAAAAGAAAAAACAAATAGTTTTGTTTCTTTTTGTTTTTCTTTTAAATCACATTACCACACCTTTCAATGCATCACAAAAACTTTATGTTTGTTATTACAGCTCTTAATTTAGTATGTGAAACCATTCAAGTGCACATTCCCTGTATCCACAAAGAAGCTTTACCTCTGTGTGCTTTCTCCCTGTATGCATCAATACCAAGACACAGAATTTCACTGTTACTTGGCCTCTCTCCCCTCTATTTATCTACTAGCATCAACACCAGTGAGCCATCTGTAACAGAACTATCAACCCAGTTGTTTTGGTTTATATGAAAAGACATTCCTATCTCAGAAAAAGGATGCCACTCATCATCTGTGCAGGAAGAGCATGCAGAATAAGAAGGCTTAAAGCCTGTTAGGCCTTAGCTCTATTAACATAACCCTTTCCCTTCTTCTAAAAGCAGCAGGAGGAAAAGGTTGAGCACACTGAGCATATGACCTCCCTGAACAGGATATGAAATTTTTGGGAAGGATGGTGATTAATTGCACTGAGAACTGATGAGCTCTTGAACACAAGGAGGGTGATCCTCTGGGAGCTAACTGTGAAGAACTTTTGGCACATCTGGGCTGCAAAACAGTGGGATATAGAAGGTATGATGTACAGTCTCAGTTTCCAGAGTTTCTGACATCCAGAGTCAGGCAACACAAGGTAATATGTAAATAGCTACTTCACTCTCTGTATTACTGAATGCATCTACTATGGAGGTTTTGATGGTAACAAACTGTGATAAGAAGTCAGACTTAATTATGCATATCTCATCACATTTCCCAAATGACACCGATTACATTCACAGCAAAATACAGGTAGCATATTTTAATGCAACAACTTTATCCAGGCTAGTGTAAGGAGGAAATTATAATTACTAACTTTCAGTAGTGTGATTTGAAAGTCAATAAACCCAGGTGAAATAAATATGCACACTCCCTGCTTCTATAAATTGGCAAAGCCAAACAAAAAAAATAATTGTGGAAACAGTGACAAATTGCACCACTTTTTCCCTGCTGGAAGACAGCTTCAGATTTCTTGTAATTCACAATCCAGCCAAGAAAGATGAAGTCTTAAACTGCCCTTAAGAGCTTAATTGAAGTTCAGGAGCAAGTCATGACCCTATTGCAAATGGATGGCCAGCCCTGGAGTGCAATATAGAATACATTGAAACCTCACCTGCTTTGAGAACTGAACTTAGACCTGTGAGGGTGGGGAAGAAGGGGAAGCCAGGGCTGGTTATGGAGCAGCAATTTAACCATCTGTCTTTGGAAAAAGTCTGCTCCCACTTTTCCCTGTATGCCTCAGGTGATCAACTAAAGGATTTGACTTCACTGACACCTCAATAAACTACTCGGATGATTCACACTTTACAACAAAAAAAAAAAAATGCAGAAGACAGGATATTTCCTGGAAAACCTGACTTGTGAAAATATTCCAATGTCAAGAAGGTACTGTTACAGCAGACCTGGCACATTTTGACTCCAGGAGTTTGAATGTCACTGTAGTTTTGTTGCAGTTTAGGCTTTTTTCTTCTCTTTCTTTGGTCCCTTCTCTACAGAGAGCTCCAATCAACTATGCTGGCAGAGCAGACGGCCAGATGTCATCCTCAAGCCACACTGTGAACTGTGATGTCAATGAAAATTCTGTACATGAATAGAAGTTGGCAGATGGCCTTAACCACACAAACCTAAACCAGTGGAGGATAATACATGAAAGCCTGACCTGCCATCCTGTCGACTGATGGTGTATCCATACTCATTGTGGTGCAGGAAACTGACGTTCACTCCAACCAAAGGTGTTCCGTCGATTGCTACAACCTGGCCTCGGATGACACACGCCCGTCTGCAACAAGAAGAGTAGAAGGCAACAAGTTACAAACATGAGGAGGGTGAGAAAGACATCGATTACAGAAACTGGGCTGTGCTTTGGTCCCAAACAGACAGAACCACTCTGATATCAGAATGACTGCTGATTTTTGGAAGAGAAGTCATACAAGCCCAAAACATTAATTTGAAAAAGCATTCTCTCATAAGGATGACACACAGACTCTCCCATGAACTATTGGTATGAGGAGAATATGTTCCTGTTTCCTCACATATTTTAGGGTACTATTTGCTCTGCCACTGAATGGCACTGCAAAGGTTTCACTGATAGTGTGATTTAGCTGGCTGCAGCTCTAGGGAGTGATGGTTTGTGAAAGGAGAGAATGAAACCTCATTCTCTGCTGCTAGGTATAGGGCATTGCTGTCTATTAGAAAAAAGCTGAACTAATGTGATAAGGCAGCAGTGAGATACAGGGGCTTCACCGAACTTCAGAAAGTTATACAGGTAAATTCACAGGGTGCCTAATCAAGTGTAACGTACATTTTTCTCCATCCCCCATCACATGTGATGTTATTCTGAATTCCCTCCGGGATGCATTGACTTGCACCCACTTTCCACTTTATCCTCACATTCCAGTGAAGAGGGTGGAACATGGCAGCACAGCAGAAGACATCAAAGTCAATGGACAGGAAAGTGAACTCATTACTAAGTGTGTCTAATCAGAGGCTAACAGGATCACAGAGTCATAGAAAATGAGAGCTGAAAGGAAATACAAGACTTTATCTTGTCCACTCCTTTGCCGCGGGTTAGATCAACTATGCCTACATCAGTCCAGACAGATGCTTGTCTAACTCTATAAGCTCACCAAGTTACCCATTCCAATGCCTCTGCATGAGTGCTCTACTCATGGTAAGTTCTGTCCAATTTGAACTTCCACTGCTGTACTTTCAGACCATTGCTTTCATCTTAGTCACAGAAATGGTGAAGAAATTACTCTTTTTCTTAGCTTTAGCCTTTTACCTTTCTGAATAAAGAAACATACATGAATCAAGTCTCCTAAGGATGAGAAATAAGACATAAAATATCCTTATGATGTAGATTAGGACCCAGTGGGATTTTCTAAGGGCTTACACAGCTACATTCCACTGAAATTCCTCCCAGGAATTTTGCTCTGGGCTGTCAGCTACACACCTCCACTGGCTGAACCAACCCAGATCCTGGAAACTCATGGAACTACTGCAGCTATTTCCTGGAACTGCAGTTTGAGATAATGAAGTGAGCAGTGTATGCAGAAGTCTTTTGCTAACATTAAGACATTTAGGGTCAAAACCAATGCAATACTTATAAAGTAAACTGGCATTAATTACTCAATCTAAATGACAAGCATAAATGTAGGCATTGTTATGTTTATTTCTCAACTTGAAAATTTGTGGCAAACCTCAATAGACACATCCACTGCACAGTGAATATGTGATCTAAAGGAAAAAACTTAATAGCTCCTCAGGCAAAAATAATTTAGGAGTCTACGTATGAATTTTAAAAATATACCTAGAGAGATTAATTGACCATGATCCAATGAAATCATATGCAGAAATTGGAGAACATAAATTTCTGAAAATTTTGACATGCTTCTTAAGATCCCATTCTCCCAAGCCACTAACAGGACACTGATTTATCACCATGATATCATCAAACCCGTCTGACTATGACTTGAGAAAATACAACTGGTAAAAATTAACCTTTTTGCCACTACAGCATTCACCACAGTTGCTAATAGGAATTCCATGCTCCCAGGCCATGAAAAGATGCTGATAAATTCTAGAGGAATGGGAGATGCTGCATTACTGCTAATACGCAAAACAAGAGTTTTGACTTAACACCTGTTTTGTTTCCTACACGAAGTAAATGGTTTGTGGCTCTATTTGTGGCCCAAAATCTGCTGCTCCACTGAAGGCAATTGAGCTCCTGTTTGTCTCAACAGACTCACAAGACTCACTCAAAAGAACATAGCCAGGTCCAATTACTCTGATTTCTTAGAGAAAAAAAATACTTGTTTATATTATTTTCCTGTATTTCTAACATCAACAGATTTGCATTTTCTTTTCTAATACCTTTATTAATGCACTCCATATATTTACAACACTCTTTGGTGTGAGAGTGAGACCCCTGAGAGTAATCACTTTTAACTGCATTATTCTTGCACTCCTGTTTGTTCATTCCACACAGACCTGTCTTCTGACACTACTCTGTCCTCATATTTTATCAAGCACTCAGATTTGTACGATAAAAGCTCATCAAAATCTCCATCCATGGTCTTTCTTTCCTTTACTTATTCACTTTACTTCCCATAATTCTTAAATAATATTAAGAGACTTATATTTCAACATTCTCCATTTTATAAATCATATTTTACAAGCAACACATATTTATGGTATGTGATAAAGACACATAAACCTCATTATTCTCCATTTATCTGTACTGAGTTGTCTTTCTAATCTCTTAGATTTTAAATGTCCTAAGCCTGCCTCTGTGCTTCTACATTTGTCCTCATTATTTAATGTCTCTTTATGACCTATTCTGAGTTGAAGAGTCTTCTCTGGCCTCTTTTTGAATTACCAGAACCTACTAAATCTTTGACTAAGCATTTGATCAGAATTAGCTTTAATTCTGGCAGTTACTGCAGCTATGAAAACATTTTTCACTTCCTTCATGACCAGCACGAGTCTCCAAGGCTCAGGAGGTAACCAAGAGCCCCCGTTTGCAGCCAGTTCCCCCTTGTTTCCCCCTTGGCAGCTGACAGAGCAGACCCCACGTCCCCAGGCACGCTGGCAGGCAGGTTCCCTGCAGCTCTGCTGCTCAGAGCACACCTCAGTTCCTTCCCTTACAGAGCTTTTAGAGCATGTTCCCTGCAGCTCTGCTGCTCAGAGCACACCTCAGTTCCTTCCCTTACAGAGCTTTTAGAGCACGTTCCCTGCAGTGATGTCCCTTCACAGTCAGCTGCCACTTCACGCTTCCTTGCTTCAACATCCATCCTCTTCCCAGATGAGCTGGAGGCCTTGCTACCACTCACTGCTTCTCTTCATTTGAGCAGAGAAACCTCTAAAGATCATGATGTCTCCTCAATGCACTGTACTTTCTGCCTCTAAGACTTATTCCACACTCTTGTGACTGCCCTGCTTTGCTTTCTCACGGGGGATAACTTGTACTATCTGTCCAACAGCCACCTATTTGTGATGATTGCATAAGCTCAGACCTAAGGCTTTCCAAGTTGTTTTAACTTGGAAGTCAGTGCAAAAATGTCTTTTCTAATTTGGTGAAGCTGGGCAAGAACATGCCCCTGATAAGCTGCCTTAGTGTTTTCAAATGCATTAAAAATGTTCCCAGTCCCCTGGCAAGCTGTACTAAATCTGCAACTCCAGAGGGAGCAGTTGGCTTTTTGAGAGAAAGCTGAGATTCCCACGGGTTGCAGGTGGCCTGAAAGTAGAATTCCTCTGTCAATGCTTCATGGGTCATTCCAGGAGCAACTGAGGAATCACTACTCTTCACTACTCTGGTGACCTCGGATCTCTGCTGTCAGGCAGTTTGTTTGACATCTTTAATTTAAAATATGAATAGAAGTTTAAATTTCAGATGTATTCTTTCAGTACTTGTGAAGTATTTTATTATTTTACTGCCATTCTGCCTTGCTCTGCTGCTACTTACCTGCTATTTTTTTGCATGTTAAGTTTCCAATAATCACCTCAGGCTGAGACATTAGGCTCAGATATGGAACTCTATCAAGCAGCTTGTGAATTTGCAAGTGTCACATTACCAGAAGATGTCATTTACTATATTACATTTCTGATTAAAATCTTCAATGAGAGAAATGAAGCTGAAGGCTAGCGAGGTACATTCGTTTCCTCCTGCTGACAATGTTGCTGTAAGCAGCATTTGAAGGGTAATTAATTCAGTACCATACACTGGACCCTTTTCGTGGGCAATTTACAGTGAGTCAAAGAGCTTGCCTGCAGCATGCATTAAAACAAAAAAAACCTCAGCAAACAAACAAGCTAAAAACCTTCCTGAGAACAGAAGTTGACAAAAACATTATAATCTGCTACACCCTGCCACATGCAGTAGGTTAAAACCATGCCTGATGTAAGCAAGTACATTTCCATTTATCCAGAACGCCTCTAATCTGCCTTTCAGCATGCCACAGTTCAAGTGGGAGTTTGTAAAAACCCAATGCATTAGACGTAGATTTGACATAACAAAAAGTCAAATGTTTTCCAAACATGTAGCCCCTTAAGATTATTTTTGGTGTAGTATTTAGGCATGGCTCAAGCAACATCCTGACTGTACTGTAAAGGCCAAATGATTAAATATTAGACCTCAGCTGAAGTCCAAGATGCAAATGCAGAGGGATAGATGTCTCAGCAGCTGTCAGAACAACTAGTTTTACTATTTCAGATTATTTGGAAAATTCCAGGATATGGCAGAGACCAAACACATCCAAGTATGAAGGACAGAGATAGTCTTTACCATTTTTGATAGCTTTCCAAGATCTAATCAACATCATTTTGTCTCCAGCCAGATTCATGCAAACATCACCCATACTAGAGTTCCACTGACCTGTCTGTGGTACAGTAAAACACTGCACAATGTCATTTGAATCAGAAGACTGAAAACACTGGGTAGATGACTCTTCCTTAATGCTCCTAATGGCCTCAGAGATGTCTTGTAAAGGGAAATGAAAAAAAAAAAATGGCAGATAGGGCTTTGCAAAATTGGAGCACCAGTGGGAATGGATGGCAGTACTCTGAAATAAATACATGCCACTATTCCATCCAATCCTTCCAACTTTTCATGCTGAACCACCAATGCTATAAAATCAGTGCCATTGCAGGCAGACATGAGTTAATATCATTTGCCTAGATACAACCTTTTCAGCAACAGCCCAAAGGAGATTAAAGCCCCTCAAGCATTCTTTGCAGATAGGCTGGATCACAGATTTCTGATATTTTTTTAGTGTAGCAGCAGTTGTCTTTCTATATTTTTTTCAGTAATCTTAATTCCCAGGAGAAGAACCGACACAAGATGACAGTCAGATTGGCAATGTCAGAGCAAGATTTCTGAACAGAAGCACCACAGTTTAGCTATTGCCTCTTTCCAAAACCCTGCTTTTATCTCTCATCCTTGAGTAAAATTCTGGCAGTTTTTAATAACATTTGACTTCTGGATGAACAATATTTCAACAGCCTGGAAGACTCAAGAATCAAGCAAAGTGTGGACTGAGGAACCCTTTGGGGTGCCCAGTACATTGCAATTGATGTTGACAAACCTCAGGAGACACAGCACAGCACGAGTCTCCAGGCACTGCCCTGACTCCTAAGATGCAGCCACCCCCATCTGAATCCCAATGATCTTCTCAAAACAGCTATGAATTTTTCTACAGTGGGAGGAAATGGTATCTGGGGTGTCAGTGATACACCAATTCCAGCAGAGTCCTACTCCTCAGTGGCAGGAAGTCAGAAGCCATGGCAAGGGTGGGCTGCTGCTCCCACAGGGAACTTCACTGCTCTTCAGTCTTCAAAGGCATGGCAGGTAACAGAGTAAAGAAATGAAATACTCAGAAACAGCTTTTAAATCCAAGTTAAATCCCATCAATGATAGCTTTAAAAGATCAATTCCTTATATCTATAAAAGCACGTTGATGGGATTATGTACAATCTGGCTGCTAACATTTGCAGTGTCACAGAACACTGTACAGGCAACTTGAGCACTCACCTCCTCTTTGGAAACTCCCCACTGTGAGGCATTTTGATGAGGAAAATTTTTCAGTGGCGAATTTTGGTTTAAACTGCACACAGAGCCAGCCAAGGACTCTGGCCCAAGTACAGGGGCCTCATTCATAAGTGCAACAGTCCAGGAGACCCACCAGTGGCAGGTGGGTGCTTCTCATGCAGTTCATCTTCATGGCCTATTGCTCTACATATTTATAACATCCTGTTACATTATTGATAGTGATGAAATGTTTAGGTATTTCAGATCAATAATGACTGTTTACAAATTTACTTTATTAAAAATTAATACTGAAGAAAAAAGTGCACTGAATTTGTGTGCAGGATTGCGTTGAGGTCGTAAACTAAGTGCTGTGTAGTGTGAAAATAAAAAATTCTTATATGCTTATTACTGGAACATGGTTTATCTAGTGCAGAGGCCTAGTTGACAGGGTAACAGTCAGGTGATGTGGATGATTTGTGAATCTCTTTGTCAGCATGTAAGTTATAGCTTCCCAAGTGAACTGCAGCATAAAAACTTATATGCCCCTTTACTTCAAATGTTCAAGAAAATATGTGTTACCAGGTTTTCTGAGCAAGTAAGTGCCCTTTTCCTGCTGCACAGTTCCTTCCTGTTAAAGGGCAAAGCCAATCTCACAAACACTCAGGGATCACTCCACTCTTTGCATGATAACCTGCAGCACAAAGCAGTAAACTCCACACTGCTTCATAAAGGTGTAGCAAAACCAAGGAAGTTTTTAAATTATGTAACACATAATAAATTAATTGCACTGTAAATACTGATTGAATTGTACTGGGCAGAAATGTGACTGAAGACAGCAGATGTGAATCCAATTTGTCCTTCTGGATCCTGCCATTACATATGCACAGTGGGAAGGGTTGAACTTCCTCTGCTGATTTTACAAGTATGAAACAACTTACCTTCCAGAACAGCCAGTCTTGTTAATAAGAGCATTAGAGTGTGTTGGTGGGACACTTCCACCAATCAGACAGGTAACACAAGATTCTCAGCTGTTGGGACTTTAAAGTTTGCTATCCTCTTAAATATTTTATGAGCAATGGCGAAAAATTTCCAGCTACCCAGGTATCCCCAATTTTTTCCTGGTTAAATAATTAAATTGCAATTCTCAATATTCAGAAAAGTCTTTCATTTAAAAGAAGACTCACCTGCTCTCAAAGGAGACATCTCCAGGGATTACATGAGTGCTTTCCTTCCCAATAAGGAACCTGATTCGATCATAGAAGAGCCTTGGAGGATGCTGAGAGAAGGGTGGTTGGCTGTGCTGGATAAGGTCAAGGGGATCAGGTGAACCCTGGCAGAGAGGACTTGAGTAACAATTGCTTTGCTGACAACAGTCAGGGTCTACACAGTCTGTCAAGCCATCTAAAATGGAAAAAATGGAAACTTCAGGAAATCGAGCAGTTCTGAGAATAAAGCAGCACATTTATTATCAGAGAGCACAGGAGGGCTGTAATCAATGTGAAGGCATGCTGATTATGACACAGTCACATTCAATAAAGCATGCTTAGTCCAGGAGCGTTATTTGTCTGTCATTAACACTGTATCACCTCACCAAATCCCCACTCGGTAAGAAGAAAACAGAACCTACAACCAAGTGAAAAGGGAAAAGCAGCACAGTCTTCCCTGCAGACCAGGCAGAAGAAAGGTACTACATTTCACCTGTCAGTGCAATGTGATCCACACTGTGCAGCTGCTCCCTCTAACAGCCCTTTATTGTCAGCGCTGCCTGGCCACCCCAGGTGGGACATCCACTCACTAACTAGACCCCAGTAATGAGGTCAGAAATTTACCCAATTCTCCTAAGTGTCCCCACTGCAGTAAAAAAATGTATTTTTTATAGTTGGCTAACTTCTGTTTTAAGCCTTACAATAGTTTTACAAGTGGTTTAGGATATTTACTTTTCATTTATTGGTTGCAATACCAGAATGATCCAGGAAGGGCGTAATTGTAACTACACTCCTGCAGCTGATACATGAATACACACCCAGATTCAGGCTCTATCCCAGTGACCAGACAGTTACAATCCTCTCTACAGATGTTTGCACCATGAAAGCAAATTTGGAAAGTGAAAATAAAGCTACTTCTCCTCTGTCCATTTTCAAGTATGAAAAATAGAAGAAATAATAGATTTTTTCAGAAATCTACATTTCTTCATGAACAAACTTGCAGCAACACTTGTGGGTGAAATTAAGTTACTTAAATATCTATCTAAAGCTTAAGATGAAAATTGAAGCACTGAAGTGCATCTAAATTAAGCACCTAAATAAAACTTAAAATTGGGCTGTTGACATTTAATTGTTTCTATCAGCAGCTTAGATGTCCAAATTGGCTAAATTACATACTCAGTCAGAAACAGATTTAATAGGAGATGGCAAAATGTCCAACAATCTTCTTCAACATCCACTTTATGACTTAGCAGCTGCAGTGTTCCTTGCATCTAAAGCAAGATAAAGGTGTTTTATCCTTCAACAAAGACACTTTGTATTTCTAACAAGGTTGGTCTGAATAAATGCAGAGTTGTCACATCAAAGTATGGATCTTATTTGTGTTGAAATTGGAATGCTATAGGATCAACATACTGTTGATATTTTCAGATATTTTGTTGATACTGTCAGATATTTTCACTTCATGTTTTGACTTTCTATGTTCTGTTTGTACCAACACTTTGAAGTCTATCAAACTGCACCTCAGGGGTGCTCTTGGAGGGAGCAGGGGAGCTCCTGGAGTTTTGTTGTTGACTTTAATGGGTGCAAGACCAATCCCCAGCCAAGCAGCTGCTGCTTCCTCAACAGAGCTCTGTGTGAATGCTCAGTAAATGGCAGCATAAAACATTCACTTTGAAAAGAAAGCAAAAGCCCTTCTACAGAACAAACATATATAATGAAATAGGCTTTCCTGGCATCTGAAAATCCTTGCCTGACCTAGAGCAAGATAATTGCTTGGCTAAGCAAAAAAATATTAACAAATCTATCCTCTGCAACTGGGAAATCAGATAGAGCATGCTAGTTTTTGTAAAGATGAGCCAAGGGCAACTGTAGATAGCTAGCAACAATAATCTAGGACCCTCAGCTCCAGCAGAGCTGGCATGGCTACAGGTCAGTGTGTACTTTCCACATTCCCCAAATCCTGGAGACAACAGGCATTTGCCAGCAGTGGAAGAATAACTTCACAGGGCAATGTTGAGTTTATTGACTTTGAGTGTAGAAGTCACTTTAGATTCAGGAAAGCCTAGGAAGCAACTGAAATCTGCTAGGAAGTCAGGAAGCTAAAACAATAACAAGGGGCCTCCAGTCTAAACAAAAGCACACGGGAAGGGATGGAGGGGTTCACAACATAAACCAGTCTTTTTCAGTGTGTTCTGATGGGAAAAAAAGGGTTTTGGGTTGAAACTTGAAGAGCATGCTTGGAACTGCAAGGAAAAAAGTTGTTTCATCTATTTTTCATCCAAGGAATAAAGCTCTCTATATTCTTAATAAGAATTGAAAATCATCAAGTTACAGATGCTTTTCAGCAGATCATCCAAGAATACAAATATTAGAGAATTCTACTAGATCTGAAAATGTCATAAAGACATGGAAATCTCTGTGGTTTATAGTAGTGGCTCTGCCAGGGGAAGGGTTATTGCAGTGACAAGTCTTGTTCAAGGAATCCACAGATTTTCTGGAAGATACCAATTTCTACAAGCTCACCACTGTCTACCTGAGAAACCTGACAAACTTTGGTCTAGCAGATTTTGTGCTAATTAAAAAAAAGGAGCACTTATTTCAGAATAACAGTATCCATGGGGAAGCTATTTTGGAGTAATTTATTCCACACTAGCAATTCTGATTAATTTTTTTCCTTGTCAACAAGCTATTAGATGTGGGAACTGAGCTGACCTGATTCTCTAATATATGTAAGAAATAAGAGTGAAAGGTCACAGAAATATTAGAATATGAAGGTCTGCCTAGGAAAGAAACAGCTACAAAAATAACACTTAACTATTTTGCTTTTTCTAATAGAGTCCTCATTTTCCTCTGCTTCAGTCAAGAGCTTACATACCTGGTGACCAACACAGTGCATTCAGGCTGGACACAAAAAGAAACCAAGGAAAGGGAAAGCAGTTTTCCATCTTCCAGTCAGACTCAATTTTCCTCTTTTCTTTGCAGCTTACTTGTCAGCAACAAGACTGCCTTATAAAGGCTTCCAGGTTGTGCTAATGGAGTTATTCTGGTTTGAATTACCTGCACCTGGTTTCATTTGCCTCTTCAGCCTCCCAGGGCTACAATAGGGAAGGTTTCCCATTAGGAGGGTGTGAAACCCAGAAGCACATCTGAACAAGTCATTTTGAGACTGGTGTGAGTCCTAACAGTACTACAAATATATGAAATGCTGGATTCAGCAGGAACAGCTTACAGGCAACAAAGGCTACAAAGTCATCAGAGAAAGAAAGTCCTACCCAAAATATCAGTATTAATGCAAAGGAGCACGGTTCTAGGTCACACACCATCATTCATGGGCTCTCTTTCTCTCTCATGGTGTTTTTTTTTTTTAAATATTTTGATTGATCAGATGGGAATTTATTTCCATCTCCTCTCACAACCATGCAGAATGAAAGAGAAGACACGTTAGGCTCAGAGAAGATGCTTCATGGGCAATAAGGCAAGAAGTGAAGAAGCAGCAGCTTCTCTGTGCACCACTCAAATAATGTATTTGGCCCAGACTGCTGTGTGTATTTTAGGATAATTAACTACAATTATCTGAACAATGAAAGTCCAGCTTTTCTCCAAACAACCAAAATTTGGAAGAGAAACTGACTTGCATAGAACTTAAAAATGTTTTTATCATTTTGTGAAGAAGTAAAATAATAAAACACCTGTTTCAGGGCAAACAGGGCACTCTTAAGCCAAAACAAAATCTTTTTTCCTCTTTAGGCTCATTCAAGACATTGGTTTTGAATTAAACAATTTAAAAGAAAAAAAAGTAAGAAAATCCAAATCTAAGACCTCAAAAGAAAACTCCTATAATTTAGCACAATATCCATCAAAATGAGCCAGGCAAACCAAGCTGGTACAGAATCACAAGCTACATATGGAGGGAGGTCATGACAATGCAAATGGTAGTAATAAGTGCACATGAGGATAAAATTTTCAACAAGCCAATCCTATTTGAAATTAGATTTTTAATCCAGGAGAATAACCCAGGAAAAAAAAAACCCAAATAAATCTTGTTTATAAACTATATTGTCAAATTCATGCACTTGAAAATGCTACAAATACATTAGTCAGTTCTCAACCAGTGGTCACAATTTTAGTTAAATTTCTGTATCAGGAACCAACTATTAAAAAGCTCACTGTGTTAGCAAATCAGCAGGGTTTCTTTTAAATCTCAGGAGACAACAGCCAGGAGTATGAACAAACTACTACAAACAGCAAACACTGTAATTCATACAGCAGGAGATCCTTGTACACTGAAGTTTTTACTGTCAATTACCCCAAAGAGCATCACAGCATAGGTGCAGACTAAAATGTATTTCAGATGTGTAAATGGTTTTGGTTTGTTAATAGCATTTTAAAATTTATTTTATATGAAAGACAGGCACATTCACTGTACACTACAGACTTATTATATAAAGTAATTTCCATTTTGATGAATCTGAAATTAGGGCTTCCCATCCTCCAGGTACTTTCTTTTGTATGCAAGGATAATGATGAACTGGGATTTTTGTTTTGAAAGTGAATTAGAAAATTAAAATATGTTTAATATTACTGCTAAAACAGAATTTACAAAGATCAACTTCAAGATAGAAAGCACTTCATAGTACTCTTCAATAATTTAAACAACCTCAAAGAGAAGGCAGAGCATGCCTAAACAAGTTCCTCTGTTTTCAGTCACAGCATTCCTATCTGTATTGCAATAGATCTCAGAACTAGGACAAGATTTTCCCATTCCTTTGCTGGGGACCAGATTTTTTCAGGAAGCCTTCTATAAGGAATGATATTAATATTTATTGGGTCAGGACTGTGTGTCAATGGAATCACACAAAGTTTTCCATCAAACAAAATACATTTTCTTGCTTATACATTTATATATATATTCCTTCTTCTATATGATGGAAGGGATGTCACAAGTGCTGTGAAATTACTTCCTCAGCCATGCTTCTGCTGCAGTCATAGAAGGCTCATGTTGTCCTTGGTGCAGCACATTTTCTGATGTACTCATTGGGCAGCAATCTCTCTTCTACAGGCATGATCACCTTCAGCAGCCAGAAAAATTGGCAATGGACCTGTGGCTATGGACCTTCCCCTCCACTGGCTACTTTCCAGCAATATATATCTCTCTACTTTCTATGTCTGGAAAAATGCTGCACAGAGAGTGCATTT